CCCCAAAACCCCAAAACCCCAAAACCCCACGATGAAGATTTATATATAATTTTGAAAATAATAAAAACCTCAAAAGTTATGTCTATTATTTAACCGTTAAAACAATATCTAAGCCTAATTCACAACTAAGTTTCATTTTTAATCTCCCTAAAGAAATTAAGAGAGTCTTGAATCTTCTCCTTTACATCGATTGGTCCATTATTCATCACAATCAAGTTATCTTTCTTTGCTAATCTTTGATAGCATTAAATATATCTTTGTCCGAGCAAAAACTATGCTGCTGCCATTCCAGAAGGGGACTTTAACGATTCATCTATTGAGGTTAGTGCTGAAGATGAGGCTTCTGCCTAAATAATCATAGATTCAGCTTTGCCTTCAGCCTCTAGTACCTATGCTCTTTTGCTTGCCTCTGCTCTGTTAATGTTAGAAACTCTGTCTCCTTCTGACGCCAAGATTTAAGCCCTTTTTTTCCTCTCAGCTTCGGCTTGTAAAATCATTGAGTTTTAAATGTTTTCTGGTGGAACAATGTCCTTAATCTCATATCTCATAGTCTTTATTCCCCAATCAGCAGTCTCTCTGTGAACGGCATTCACTATCTTTTCATTCAAACTTTATCTTTCCTCAAATGTTCTATCCAAACTGATTTTACCTATTTCTGAGCGCATAACTGTTTGAGCCAAGTTGGTAATGGCTGTATAAATGTTTTCAACATTATAGGAAACCTTGATTGGATCGATAATCTGAATGTAAAGGACTCCATCAATATTTAATGCTACATTATCCCTTGTTACTGCTGTCTATGGTAATATTTCTATAACCTATTCTCTTAAATCATGACAGTAAGCGATCTTTTCAATAAAAGGAATCTTAAAGTTAAAGCCTTAGTCTAAGCGTCTATTATATTTCTCAAATCTATGTATAAGACATGAATTTTTTTCTCTAATAAACAACAGAAAACCAAGGTTAATAAACTTATATGATGCAGTATTGCCGCCAAACTATTTCCTAAATCCTCTGTCAAGGTCTGCGAAATCATCGAAACCTCTCTACTGAACTCTTATAAAAGAAGTGCCTTTCGATCTCAAATGGATAGCTTTAGATGTTAACATTTAAAAAATAACTGTTAACTTTTTATAAATTTTATTAAAATCCACAAATATTTTATCCGCTAATTATTTGTCAGATTCTAATTTATGGGGTTTTGGGGTTTTGGGGTTTTGGGGTTTTGGGG